GAGCTGAAGCTCCCTAAGAAAAGAAAGAAATCTTTAGAGAGAGTTTTAAGGAAATTTTGCTGTGACATGTAGTGTAACCCTTTCCTCTGACTCTGTACAAAAACAGTCAGTAAAATCCGCATTCTTCATCAGTGCTTTGGGAGTTGGATTAGTTGTGGTTTGTCAGTTTTTTAATAGCAACCACATTAAAACTGGAGTTAAGTAAGAGTTGGACTGTCCCAAGGAGGCTTAGGGACATATTACGGTTACAGATGCAGCCCTGTGGACCCACTCCAGATGCTTGAGAAAGATGATCCCTGACCTCCTGTTCCTTTCTCTCACTGAGGGCAGGAACTTCCTTCCAAGCACAAAGCTGTGTTGTGATAGGTACATTTGAGAATATCTACACAGATTATGATCCCTTTCTCCTTTTCTGAACACTGGAGAATGTCTCTCTGTACTGTATGTAGTCTTATTAATACCATCTGACTCTCCATCTCTTTGGTCTATTTATATTAACGTTTAGGCTTAGAGTTGCTTTTTTTCCAGGTCTTTGAAGAGTCCTACAACATAGGGGGATGGAGCCCATTAGACATGTCCTGTTCCAGGTCAACCTGAGCCTTTTTGACATCTGCAGTGGCTCTCACAGGGCTGATAGCGACTGCTATCAGAGGGCTTACCAAACATGATGTAATACTCAGATTCCTAATGCATATCTTCCTGGTTCAGGGTGTCAGGAAAGAGTTTCACGTACCCACCACCACAGTCAATGCCTTGCTCGTGTTTTACTGAAAACAGAACCACCAAGGTCTCATTCTCATTGCTAAATGGCTTAAACCTGGTTGAGAGGGAATAAAACTTGACATCTTCGCTGGTCTGGAGGCCTGGAAGCAGAGAGCACAGAATCTTTAGGCTTTTAAGTATATACTCAGAGCAGACAGAGAGACCCAGCACTTAGTCCCTCCAATCTCTAGTACTTTGTACTTTCTTACACACTTACTGTGTGCCAGGTGCTGTGCTGGATAGTTTACACACATTACTTATTCAAGCCTCAGAGCAACCCTGCAAAATGGGTATTATTATCTCTACTCATTAGGAGTCTGAGTCATGGGGAGGTGAAGTGGCGTGCTGAGGGCCACGTGGCTATTAAGGCACTAAACTGGGATTTTAAGCCATACTTATCTGATTCTTTCTTTCCACTATATCACACTGCCTCTGATTTTCAAGAGATACTTAAATATGGTTTTGCAGCTTTACAAAACAAAGTCCTGTTTCTTCTGAGGCCCCTTGGGTGGCCAGACTCAGGCTCTGCCATGCTCAATTGCTGTGGCAGAAAGAGGCCCAGTGCTACCTCTTGTGACAAATAATAACTATTGCTCACATTAATTGAACACTTCCTCTTGATAAGCAGTATGTTTCATTCATAGGTATTACTGTATTTAATCCTCATAATAACCCCATGATGTAGGCTCTACTAATATTCACCACTTTATCATGAAGTCATTGAGGCTATTTCACTTGTTCAGGGTCATACAACCAGTCTATCTAATTCCAGAGGCCCCATGCTAAGACTTGACCTCCTCCTCCAGAGAATACCAGGGCTATAAGGAATCTCAAGGCCTTTCTAATCTAACACATTACTTTGTAGATGAAGAAAAAATCAGGCCCCAGAGAGGGACAGTTACTTATCCAAGATCATACAATCATAAGTGACAGACACATAAGCCAAGTCATCTGGCTTCCAGGCCAGTGGTCTTTCCATTATTCCATGCTAACTGGTTATGACTCTGACTGTCCCTTTAACCCTCTGAGCTTCAGTTTCCTCATCAGCAAAACTGAATAATTATTCCTACTTCATGGTGTCCTGTGAAAGTCAAATGGGTAAGAGATGTGAGAAGCACTTTGTAAACTAGCATACAATGCAAGGGCTTATCATTATTCATGCTCAGTGAGGGT